ACTCTCATCCTCTAGGAAGCAGGTCGCAGTCCTTCGTTGGGTCCTCTTCGATGGGCCAGTCACAAGTGGTCAGGAGCTCCTCCAATACGCCGTCATATACGACTTCTCTCTCTCCTCCAAAATGGTGGCAGATCTTCTTTTCCAGCTTCCGGCTGAATCGCACTTTTGCTCGAAGGAGGCGGTGTTCTGAACCATTGCTGAAGGATGGTACCAATGAGACATCCAGTAAGCTTAATCTTCGATTGGTGAGAATGTAGTCAATCTCCGCATGATTCGTACCGTTGAGTGGCTCCCATGCCCGTCGGTGCTCTTTCTTCATAAAAATGGAGTTGCCATGAAACAGTCGTGCGGCGGATAAAAGCCCAACAACCATTCTCTTTCCGGATCTCCCGATCCTGGGCTCCCCTTCTTCTGGCATCCCATTTTCGCAATAAAGTCACCCACGACATCTGTAGAAGGAATTCTCTTTGCGAATGAGGCTCTCCAGATTCTCGCCAAAGGCATCTATCTTCGAGTCGTCAACGCTGATGTCGAAGAATAACAGCTAATTATTAATGATTTCTGACGGGGAGAACGGAGTTGAAGGATAGCCAGGCTAGGTGATAGGATCTCATACGTATCGACAAGATGGACAACAGAGGGTGTACGACACAACACCTCCGACGTTCCTGGAAATTTCTCACCAGGAATGATGAGTCTGCCATCGCTCAGCTGCCTCACGTCTGTCTTCCTTGACTTTGTTTCCTGCAAGGTGATTAGGTGATAGTTCGCCCTGCAGCTTCGAAAGGGAAGTGAAGATTGGCGTTGGTGAAGATGACGTGTCCTTTGGTCCGAAACCTACGGCGTCCTATGCACCTGACACTGATGACATCCGAGAGATATGATCCAGTGTGCAGGGCTTCTTTTTCTATTACGTGCTGTACAAGCAATAAAATAAATCTCAAGCATAGGGACTTTGCCAGGACCTGCCAAGCTTTTACCACAAACAGTCCCTGACCTATCTGGATCAGGAAACCACGTAGCGACTTAATCAGCCAGACGGCGGGGCTTCTGGAATGCCTACTCTTAGCTGGCCTCCGGTGAGGCGGAAACGTCGAATCTCTTCTCAGCTTGGGAGACCCTATAAAGAATAAGCCCTCGCTGTATTTTGTAGTTCGACCCCAGAGTCACCACCGCGCCACGATGAACATGAGCATTACTAAGTAATTATAAATCTTCAAAGCCAGTCTATCGACTATATGCATGAAGTTTCGACGACGTGTTTTCTCATAAAATGATAGACATGCAAAAATATCTTCTACTTCTCTGTTAACAGAAAAACCCCCGGGAATTTGAGCTAAGGCTTGTAATACAGCTTCACTGTACTAGAGATGCTTAGGTTTTTTTTAGACAGTCCTCAGCGGAGACTGATTCGAGTGAGCACCATCT